TGCCTCAGTGGTAGTTAACGGAATGAAATCTGATTCCTTCGTCCTTACTAGATCCCTCCGACAGGGATGTCCCCTGCCCCCCCTCTCTATGTCCTTCAACAGAAGATTCTTCTGCAAATGCTGAGAACCTCACCGAAGATTAGGGGCCTGCAGATCACGGACGACGTAACCATCAAGGCTTCAACACAGGCAGACGATCTCACGGTCATATCACAGAACACAGTGGAGTCACTGCAGGGAGTCTCAGACTGTCTCACTCTTTTTGGAAAGGCTTCAGAGGCAAAGGTGAGCTGGACGAAATCAATAGCCCTATCAAGAGATAACTCTCCACTACCGCTGGACCAAGGTATCTCTCTCAGGAATAACCAAGACTCAGAGCTGTTCTTAGGGGTTGAGGTGTCCTTTGCAGATTGTCAAAGTAAGCAGGCCACCCTGTTGGAAGACAAACCCCTTAACAAACTGTCCAGATGGTCAGTATTCAAGTCTGTTTCACTCTTCGGCAGAGCAGCTGGTAGTCAATGCCATGGTATTGTCAGTCCTTTGGTACGTACTCAACACTCCGTCCACTCCCTCCTACGTCCGCTAAATGCATCAGAAAAGCCACGTCCAATTATCTTTGGAAAGGCACAGTAGAATGCGGGAATGCGGAAAGGCACAGTAGAATGCGGGAGTGCCTTGCCCAAGGTGGCATGGTGGAAGATAACGCAGAAAAGGAACGATGGAGGGTTGGGGATATTAGACCCTGAGACTCAGAACCAGGCCCTGATGTGCAAATGGGTCATTAGAGCTCTACAAGATCCGGATCGGAAACCATGGATTATCCTTGCTGAGTACACTCTTGCCCAGGAATGGATCTGTCCAGACCATCGGACGTTTGGACATGTATGTTCTTCCACCCCTTTCTCAACAAGAGAATTGAATCTGAGACTTGGAAACCGATTCTGAAAGCTTGGAAAGCGATCCTACCAGCGATGCTCAAAGAGTTGAGAGCAAGGGACGAGGTGCTTCTACAGCCTATCTTTGAGAACCACCTCATCCGAACGCCAGCCAGAAATCCTTTATATTTGCCACATGGGGATACAGGATTTGGCATGCGCTGGGTTCGGAAAGGCATTACCCAGATAAGAGACATCTGGGATGAGGAAAGGAAAGACTGTAAACAGAATGAGGACATTGCAGAGAAACTTCCAGGAAAAAACAATGTCCACGACTGCCTATTTCTGATCAAAACAGGCTATTCCCACCCACTGGATAAGAATGCTGAAATCAGATCCCTTCCAGGTGGGTATGTGGGTGGTCGAACCCACCTCCCCCTCTACCTGCTGGAAGGTGGAAGAACTCTTGGACAATATCCTCAAATGCTCCAAATGGCAGGAGAAGAGAAATGATTTGGTGTTGATACAGAGGGAGAGAAATGAAGAGAACCAGACTTCTACTCCAGCAGGGGTGGAAGCCAGAGACCCGAGGTGCTACGACACACTGGCAGCAGATGACTGTTGGCTAATCAGAGTGGCAGAACACACGAAACACTTAAAGGCCCTACCCCCTCTTTCAAACTCAGATTGAGGGGAAGACCAATTGTCCAACTCAAGGTAGATGTGAATAATTTTGGTTGGCGGAACGTCTCCCAACAACAGTCAGAGATATCCATTATGGACTACTCAGCCCTGGGATATCGTCTGAAATCCAAAGCGAGCGAGCTCTGCGTCACTATCAAGGGGGCATGGGATGCGGACCAAGCCAATCTGGGACTGCCCTCACGTAGCTTGGAATGGGCTAAGTCTTCGGCAAAGCCTTGAAGAAATACCCGGTGGTCAAACACGCTAGCCTAGAATGGCTGTGCATCCATCTTTGTGTACCTACCGGACAATGGTGTATCCGAAGACATATGGATGTGATTGAAACCCAAGCACACATTTGGTGGCACTGTGAACTGGCCCAACAATTTTGGCATTGGTGGCAAGAACTCTGGAATCAGGCAAATCAAAAGGAAGAGAAGAGACACAGATGGGATGAGAAACTCATCCTGGGAGGATGGGACCCCTCTTTACCGGAGGTGATCAGTACCATCCGGATTTTGGGAATGTGGATTCTCTGGCTGGAACGAAATGGGGCCAGAATCAGCTAAACACCAGTTTGCAAAGACAGAGCTAAGGTACGAATGATACAAGGCCTGAAGAATATCATCGAAGCAGACTGGCATAAGAGAGAAATCAGCAATGCCAATGAAGGAGAGAGCGGACAGATTTGCAAAGAAATGGGCACTAGACCACTGCTGGACTATCCCGAACCAGAAGGGCAGGTTACTCTTCTCCAGATTTCTGGAAACCAGAAAGACATGGTCTCTGGAACCAGACTAGATCCTAACTCTATAGTTTCTCCCAGCCCTGTATATACTGTGTATACTGTATATTCTACTATCCTAATGCCTAATGAATACTCATCCTATACACCCTCACCTTCATTCTCCCCCTACCCTCTTCCCCCCTACTTCCCCCATTCCCCTTTTCCTCTACAAACACTGTATTGTCTCATACTTCCTAACTCTTAGTTGTCGATATACCACCCCAATAAATACTTATCAGCTACTGTTTCACAATAATCTAATAAGGCCCGAATACTTAATAGCCTATTTTTGCTCTCACTTATTAAAGATGATTTTTTGCTACAAACAGTGACATTAATTATTCAAATACTGAAACCATTTAATAAAGCTACCATTTATCGTCTCCACGGACTGCTTTAAGCAGCCCGAGAGAATACACTAATTCTTTATGCCAGGTGCTCACCTGGTGCTGGCCTAGGCTAGCTATAAACAGAATCTCAATCAATAATGGTTTGGGACGCTGGACTCGATCTCCAGCAATATTCTTCAAGATATGGTTAATGGTTTGAGACGCTGTACCCGGTTTCCAGCAATACTCTCCAATGATAGTATTAATTTTTTTGGGACCCAGCAATACTCTCCAACGATAGTGTTAGTTTTTTTTGGGACGCTGGACCCGGTTTCCAGCAATTCTTCAACGATAATAATGAGGGTCTGGGACGCTGGAGCTGGTTTCCAACATATTAGGATGGGACGCTGGACCCGGTTTCCAGCAATATCATTTAACGATAATGGCAAGAGTCTGGGACGCTGGACCCTTTTCTTTGTTCCTTCCTCTTTTCCGGATGGGACGCTGGACCCTGTTTCCAGCAAAAATTTTCTCAGAAGGGATGCTGGACCCGATTTCCAGCATGAGCCGAAACTGGGTAATGGCCCCAGAACTCCACCCCGGTAGAAATGTGAGGTCCCCGGCCTCGACCCCTTTTTTAAAGGAATACAGGTATTATTAAAAAAAAAAAAAAAAAAAACACTCTCCACTCCCCGCGACTGCCGTGACCGCCTGCCGGCAATGCTTTCTATGAACGGTGACCGGGATCCCGTCACACACCACTGCACAGGTCCCGTTACACATAACACTGTCCGCGCAGTTCCGCGCAGTTCCAAGCAGTTCGCTGTGCCTCAATAACCACGACGATTCGAATCCAGAGAGAGTACGCAAAAAACTGTCCAAGCCCTTTCCCTCACTAGCATTAACTAAACGGCTCAAACCTTCTCAAGCTAAGGCTTCTACCTCCAACCAATCGGTGTTCTTTTAGCAAAGGAGAACCATGTCCGTCAACCTAAATCAGAAAAGTGAAGTGGGTTGCGTCACACAGAGTATCTTATCCCTTCAAGCTCTTTACGAAACCTCATATGACTCTCATCGATCTCTTCCATCAACAGCCGTTCGCACTCTCAGTGGAACCCCCACCCCAACAAACCGACAAAACACGTTTAAAGCCCGCGTCGTAGTAATCGGCTTAATGAAATCTTCTCGTATTAACACCGGGCAACGAGTTAAAGCCCACAATTAATGCCAACAATCCTCCAGCCTTGTCCACTCCCCCTCCCTCATACAGTGTCTTTTTTTTTTTTTTTTTTTTTTTTTCGAAAGCTTGACAATTTATATTATACCAAAAAACGAGGCCGGGAACCTCACAACTCGACCCGGAGTTATCCTGGCAGCTTCAGCCCGTTTAGCTTGCGAGCAAAGATCAAATCTGTTCCCCGCCTATAGGGCTGTGCGCCACTTGTCACTTCCTTACTCCACGTGTCAATGCTCTCCCTCATGCCTATAACCACCCCCGCCACGTGTCAATCACTTGCCACACATGTCACTTCCTCACCTTCGTGCGCATAAACATTCCCACCATGTGTCGAGTCGATTACTCTAACTTATACACACAACAGTACCCATCACGTGTCAATTTCTTTCCACAAGTACCGATTGGCACGATTGCTCTGCTTCGTGCACAAGAAAAAACTCCCTCTGCACACTCAGGCCAGCACGGACTGGCTCTGCTTGGCACAATGATGACGCGGTAGTACTGACCGAGAACACCACATACACTATTTGGGTAAAAAAACTCCGTCTGCACACTCAGGCTAGCACGGTCTGGCTCTGCCTGGCACAATGATGACGCGGTAGTACTGACCGAGAACACCACCTGCATACTATTTGGGTCTTTTAACTCCCAATCTCTTTTTCTTATTTCTTTTTTTTCCCGCAATTCAAACTTAAATACATTCCAGAGAGTCGTCCTGTACGTCTCAATACTCTGGCTAGTGTCCACAAGCAGTTCACCGTACCTTCACCTATTCTACACATTCTCCTGACACTCCAATTGTTGCAGAACCGGGATTATATCTACGGACGCCATGTTTTTAAAACAACTCTCATTCCCAACTCCTGGTTGAAGTGCATTGTATGACTCATTTCGATATTGCTATTGTGAAAAGTAATTTCCGGACCCTCCAGCTCGGCGGACTGTGAAAATCATTTTGCTGGCCTCACCCTGTACTTGGCCGCCGACGGCATTTCGCAGTCGAATGGGGTTACCGTACGTCCCCTTCTCTCCTGTCGGCATTCAACGCCCCTCGGTTTCCGCCTCCACCTCCACAAGGCATGTTCTACAAGAGGGAGCTCGAGCCGGACAGGAACGATGTCCACGAGTCCTTCTCACTCCCCGACGATTGCGACTGCGGCAGGATAGCGGTCACCTCCCTCCTCTTCTCCCTAAACTTCTCCTCCAGCTCCTTGTCGATGTTGAACGCGTGGGTGACCACATCCAACGGCATGTTCTTTAGCAGGGAAGTCGATCCGGACAGGAAAGAAGACAAGGGCATCGACGACGATGTCACCGAGATCATTTCCAACGGCTCCTCCTCCGACGCCACCTTCAATGCCGCGAAGAAGCGCGGGATCGCCACCACCTGTCCTGCGCGCACCTCCGCGTCCAGCTCATTGCGCCCGTCCGGACCCGCGATCTGGACGCGCCCCTTACCTCTGATGATGTACACGATGTGGTGCGCGTTCACTGACCACGCCGGGCCCACCACCGCCCCTGGCCGCAAGAGCAGTCTGTACGCTCCCATCCCCAGCTGACGCAGCGCTGGCATTCGGTGCGCATTCAGCAACCAAAGCTTCCCGCCCTTGTTCGCCACGTCAGCGGACGATCTGTCCAGCCTGTACACGTACTCGCCACCAGGGAGCGGCAAGAGACCGAACGCGGAGGACGGCCCCTGCTCTCCGTTGACGTCATCACCCAATCCCATAGCCAGTTGACTGACTGACGATGTTGTCGTCCATGTCTGGGCAGCCTGACTGACAGCATTCTGACACGTGGCACGGCTGGTCGCTGAGCGAGAAGGCAGTCTCACAATGGCGCTCTCGTGCTGGGACCGCAGCAGCCGCTCCACGTGGCTGACGTCCACGTCCCACGCTTTGGCCAGTAGATCTTTACTGAAACCGTGAAGAATCGAACGCGTGTCCTTCTGATGTTCCGCTGCTGCCGTGGAGGTCGACGACGAGCCTGCCAGATGAAAGTGCATGCACTCGCCACGTGCATGGCCCACCGACGTGTCCCACGCCGCGAACGCCCGCAGCCGAGAGCTTCCGCAGTTGATGGCCCAGCTCACCCAGCCTCGGGGAATCGCGAACACATCCCCTTGCTCGATCCTCCTGGTATTGGTTGGGACCCCGACAGGTGACATCAGTCCCACCAAGGCGGATCCTTCAATCACGTAGAGGAGGTAATGGCAGTCGGAGTACTCGGGCAACATCATGAAGCCGGCCTCCAACGTCACCATGCCTGTTCCCAGGGAGGCATTGGAAAACTCCTCCAGAGCCCCACCCCAGCTGCGAACGGACCCGCCCTCCGCCTTAATCAGCTCTCGAAGATCACCGGTATGCCTGAGGTACTGAGAAGAGGCAGGTCGCCCGCCAGCCGCCATAGCGATGGCTGACGTGGCGTACAGCGGTAACAGAAAGAAGTGAAAGAAGGTCATCGCGTCAACGATCTTCATCCTGGTCACAGGTGGAGTGCGAACGAGAGTCGCACACGGAGACGAAGAGAAGAGGAGCAAAGATGGACGAACGTGGCTCAGTCGACGCGCTCCTGTGATCCGTTGTCACGTCCTCCTCACTTACTGAGTATCTCGCACGTGCATTCGATGATAAGACGGGAAGGTCGTGTGTCTATAAATAAACAGCGCGAGCTTATGCCGCGACGCTCAAGTAGCGAAGTTTTTTCTTTTTCTTTTTTTTTTCCCCGCCAATAAAAAAAACAAGAAAACAAAGAAAACAAAGCTGAACCATCCCCTTCGGACGTCGAAGAGACCACAGACAATAGACCCTAACAATTAACTGCTTCGCGTTCTCTTCTAATGTATCGGGACAGCATTCCAGCTCATGTTCTGTTTTAGTTACAGTTACATATTTGCACCTGGTGTACAGAGAAGCCACGGTCTTCCCCCAAAGATAACGCACCCTGGTCATGAATGTATAGAAGCGGTATCCCTGGTGTGGTACAGCCAAAATGAGGGTGCCTTGTGTTTGGGGGAAGATGGTAGCAGGACGCGTGCGCCAAGGATGAGACATACAAATTGGCCAATGCTCCGGCGTGAAGGGGGGGGGAACCGGCTCCTGTGCTATTGTCTTTTCGTACTATTCATGCTTCTGTTTTTTTTTTTTTTTTTTTTTTTTTTTTCCTACTATTCTTTTTTAGGAAAATTTTCGAAATGCCCCTGAAGTTTGCGTTTATTTGCGGTGTGCCCCTCTGACGGCCGAATTACCTTGTCGTGCCCCTCTGACGACGAACGATGTTTCCAGAAAACCCCTGGCGTCGATTGGGCCTGAAATATGTTTCATACGCCCCTACCGGTACCGGTACCAAATTTTCAGTATGCCCCTACGGGCTGGACGTTGAGAACCAGCAAAAAAGTTTCCCATATGCCCTTACCAGTTCTGTCCATCTTTCCAGGAAGCCCCTGTTGCCGTTGTTGACACTAGCAGTCTTTCCCGTCGCCCCGGGAGAGGTGCTACCGACCCATCACCATTTCGCCTTGTCAAGTTGCGTAGTACGAATGACGGACAACACACACACACACACACACACACACACACACACACACACACACATATACAGACGCGCGGTCTCTTTCCAGTCCTTGCAAAACACTATAAGATTTCGAGTGTATCTAGCGGCAGAATCCATCCAGATACATCCTCCATTTCCACAAGTTCAATACGGAAATGGCGAGTGTACCTAGCAGTGGAATCGACGAGTTCAATACGGAAAGGTCGACAATCGAGGAGGAGGAGAGGGAGGGGTGACGAGGAGAAAGTTGGAGGAGGGAGGAACGAGGGAAGAGAAGGGAAGCCGAGTAGGGAGGACAAGGATTATGGCGATGATGGACGAGAAGAGAGGATGGAGGCTGGACGAGAAGAGAGGAGAGGGACGAGCATGGATGGAGGAGGAGGGAGGAGGGCGATGAGCATGGATGGAGGAGGAGGGAGGGATGCGATGAGCATGGAGACACACACGCTGGCACGCTCGTGGGCACGCTCACCTTTGCACAGCACCTTCGCACAGGCTGCACAGCACGCATATGCACTCGGACGCAGCGATCCCCGACGCGGCGAGCTCGAAGACTGACTGCTGCACCGTTTTTCCATGGCGGCGCGCGAGGTACGTACCACTTCGAATTTGAATTTCGGCCACCACTGATGCAAGGGCATCACAGAAAGATGTGTGCCCCTCGTGAGGGCATTTCAAGGACTGACCGACGAAACGCCACCAGCGGTCCAGTAAGGGCATATCGGAAAGTTGCGCCCCATGCTGACAGGGGCCTGCAGAAAATTTCAGAGGCCC